TGGTGGGGGCCATGGGGAAGATGTGGATGGTAGAGACATGGGGGGCATGAGTGATGGGGTTGGGTGGGATGTGGGTGGTGGCCATAGGGGAACATGAGTGGTGGGGACATGGGGAACAAGAGTAGAGGTCGTGGTTGGGACATGGGTTGTGGCTATGGGGAGGACATGGGTGGTTGGGAAATGGGTGGTGGGTATGGAGAGGATGTGGGTGGTGGGGAGCAAGGGACATGGGTGGTGGCCATGGGGGGGGCATGGGTGATGAGGATGTAGGGGACACGGGTGGTGAGCATGATCAGGACATGGGTGGTGGGGATGTAGGTGGTGGGGACATGGGTATAGGTAGTGGCCATGGGGGGACATAGATGGTTGGGACATGGATGGTGGCCATGGGGAGGATGTGGGTGGTGGGGATATGGGTAATGGGGTTGGCTAGGTGAGGGCATAGGGGACATGGGTGGTGGCCATGATCAAGACATGGGTGGTAGGGTTGGGGAGCACATGGATGGTGGCCATTGGGAGGACACGGGTGGTGGAGACGTATGGGACATGGGGGGCGGCTGTGGGGAGGACGTGGGTGGTGGGGATGGAGGTGGTGGGGACATGGACATCGGTAGTGGCCATGGGGGAGCATGGAGTTGGGACATGGGTGGTTGGGATGTAAGGGTTGGGGATGTGGGTGTGGGGTTGGATGGGATGAGGGTGGTAGGGACATGGGGGACATGAGTGGTGGGGACATGGGGGATGTGGGTGGTGGGTTTGGCTGGGATGTGGGTTGTTGGGACGTGGGGGACGTGGGTGGTGGGGACATGGGGGATGTGGGTGGTGGGTTTGGCTGCGATGTGGGTTGCTGGGACATGGGGAATGTAGGTGGTGAGGTTGGATGGGATGAGGGTGGTAGGGACATGGGGGACATGGGTGGTGGGGACATGGAGGATGTGGGTGGTGGGGACATGGGAGATGTGTGTGATGGGTTTGGCTGGGATGTGGGTTGTTGGGACATGGGGGACGTGGGTGGTGGGGTTGGATGGGACATGGATGGTGGGAACATGGGTGGTGGGATTGGATGGGATGAGGGTGGTAGGGACACGGGGGACATGGGTGGTGGGGACATGGGGGACGTGGGTGGTGGGGTTGGCTGGGACATGTGTGGCTGGGACATGGGTGGTGGCCACGCTGGGCACAAAGCTGGCCGTGGGTGACACGGAGCCGTGCCGGCGCAGCTGGCCTCCAGGCACGTGGCGCTGCTGGCGCTGCTGAAGATGGCGCCGCGCTGGCTGGCGGCCGCCTTGGTGCGCAGCGGGCTGCTGCACTGCCTGTCGCCCATCTTCCGCATGGCGGCCACCAGCCACAGCGAGGCGGTGGCCCGGCTGACGGCCAACCAGGACCTGCGCGCCCTGCTCAGCTACCTCTTCTATGGTCAGCGGCTGTCGTGACGGGGAGGGGGCTATGGCGACAGAGAGTGGGCTGTCACAATGGGGAGGGGGCTATCGAGATAGGGAGTGGGCTATTGCAATGGGGAGGGGGCTATAGTGATGGGGAGGGCGATATAGAGGCAGGGAGTAGGCTATCGTGATGGGGAGGAGGCTATCATGACAGAGAGTGGGCTATCACGACAGGGAGGAGGCTATCGCGACAGAGAGGGGGCTGTTGCTGCAAGGAGGGGGCTATTGTGGTAGGGAGGTGGTAGGCTGCAACAGGAGAAGGGCTGTGTCATGATACGGCAGGACATTGCTGCAGGAGAGGTGGGCTGTGTCATGATAGGGTGAGGTGAGTTGCAACAGGGGATGGCTGTATCATGATAGGGAGAGCCATGTTGTGGCAGAGGATGGCCGTATCATGATGGAGAAGGCCTTGTCATGACAGAGGATGGCCATATCGTGATACAGAGGGCCACATTGTGATGGGGAGGGGGCGTATCGCGATGGGGAGGGCCATGTCATGACAGAGTACGGCTGTATCACGATGGGGGGGGCCACACCGTGCTAGGGGAGGGCCGTATCACGACGGGGAGGGCCAATGTCGCGACAGAGGACGGCTGCCTTGCGTCGGTGCCATCTCTGCGGCGGCACTGTCACGATCCCCGTGTCCCCAGGCACCGCACCCCGCGACTCCAGCTTCCTGGTGAACGTGCTGATGGTTCACCACTACCAGCGCGGCGCCTGGTACCCGCGGGGGGGGGCCAGCGAGATCGCCTTCCACACCGTGCCCCTCATCGAGCGCGCAGGGGGCGCCGTGCTGGTGAGAGCCGCTGTCACACGCATCCTCATCTCTGGTGGCAGCGCTGTGGGTGAGAGCCCAGCGTGGGGACTGGGGTGGGGGAGAGGGTGACAGTGTGGGATGGGTGACAATGTGGGATGGGTGACAGTGTGGGGATGGGTGGCAGTGTGGAATGGGTGACAATGTGGGATGGGTGACAGTGTGGGATGGGTGACAATATGGGATGGGTGACAACGTGGGATGAGTGACAATATGGGATGGGTGACAGTGTGGGGATGGGTGACAACGTGGGATGAGTGACAATATGGGATGGGTGACAGTTTGGGATGGGTGACAATGTGGAATGGGTGACAGTGTGGGGATGGGTGGCAGTGTGGGATGGGTGACAATGTGGGATGGGTGACAATATGGGATGGGTGGCAGTGTGGAATGGGTGACAATATGGGGATGGGTGGCAATATGAGATGGGTGACAGTTTGGGATGAGTGACAATATAGGATGGGTGACAACATGCTGTGCTGCAGGGGTGGCTGTGCAGAAGGGCAGTGAGGAGGAGGAGGTGGAGATCAGGGCACCTGTTGTCATCTCCGATGCTGGGACCTTCAACACCTTTGGCAAGCTGCTGCCCGCCCCGCTGCGCGCCCACCCCGGTGTGTGCCCCCATGGACCCCCGTGTGCCTGGGTTCCCCTGTGTCCGTGGTGTCCCCAGTGCTCCTGGTGTCCCCAGTGTCCGTGGTGTCCCCATTGCTCATGGTGTCCCCAGTATCTCCCATGTCCTTGGTGTTCCCAGTGCCCACGGTGCCCCCAGCACCTCCAGTGCCCATGGTGTCCCCAATGTTCCTGGTGTCCCCAGTGTTCCTTGTGTCCCCAGTGCCCATGGTTTCTCCAGTGTCTCCCATGTCCTTGGTGTCCCTGGTGTCCCCAGCACCCCAAAGCTCATTGTGTCCCCAGTGGTCACGGTGTCCCCAGTGCCCATAGTGTCGCCAGTATCTCCCATGTTCCCAGCACCCCCAGTGCCCATGATGTCCCCAACATCCCTGGTGTCCCCAGCACCCCAAAGCTCATCGTGACCCCAGTGCTCCTGGTGTCCCCAGTGTTGCTGATGTCCCCAACACCCCTGGTGTCCCCAGTGCTCCTGGTGTCCCCAGTGTTGCTGATGTCCCCAACACCCCTGGTAACCTCAGTGCTCGTGGTGTCCCCAATGTCCCCACTGTCTCCAGATCCCTCAGAACTCATCGTGTCCCCAGTATCCCTGATGTCCCCAGCATCCCTGCTGTCCACAGTGTCCCCTGTGCCCCCCCCCGCCCTTTTCTAGGGGACAGGGTGCCGCTGTCCCCAATGCCCCCCTGTCCCCTCAGCCATCCGCTCTCGCCTGGCCATGGTGCAGCACGGGATGGGCTCCTTCCTGGTGTTTGTGGGGCTGCGGGGCAGCGCAGCCGAGCTGGACCTTCCAGCCACCAACTTCTGGATCTACCCTCACAACGACCTGGACGCCATGTAAGGGCCCCCCTGTTGTGGGACAGGGATGGGGGCAGGGATGGGGACAAGTGCTGTTCCTGTAGGATGAGCAAGTACGCTGCCCTGAGCCGCGAGGACGTCCCTGAGAACCTGGCCATGATGTTCATCACCTTCCCTGCTGCCAAGGACCCCACCTACGAGGAGCGGCACCCAGGTGGGCTGGGGGGTCCTCACTGTGCCCCCCAGACCCCATCCATATGGCAGCATGAGCTCAGCACCTCCTTCATCTCCCAAGGGTTGGGTGGTGGGGTGGGGGTGATATCTCCATGGTTAGGACCACGGTCATCCCAGTGGTTGGGGTTATGGGGGGGCACTGGAGTGGTGACAACTCTATGATTAGGATCAAGGTTATCCCCATGGTTGGGGCTGTGGGGTGGGCACTGAGGGCAACGCTCCTATGATGAAGACTGGCTTCATCCCAAGAGTTGGGTGACAGGATGGGCACTGGGGGTGACATCCCTACAGCGGAGACCAAGGTCATCCCAATGGTTGTAGTTATGGGCTGGGCACCAGGGGTGACATCCCTATGATGGCAACCAAGGTCATCCCAATGGCTGGGGCTATGGGGTGGGCACGGGGATGAAATCCCTACAGTGGAGACCAAGGTAATCCCAATGGTTGGGTTATGGGGTGGGCACTGGGGGGTGACATCTCCATGATTAGGAACAGAGTCATGCCAATGGTTGAGGTTATGGGGTGGGCATGGGGAGTGAAATCCTTATAGTGGGAACTTAGGTAATCCCAGTGGTTGAGGTTATGGGGTGGGCATGGGGGGTGAAATCCCTACAGTGGGGATTAAAGTCATCCCAATGGTTGGGGTTATGGGGTGGGCACTGGGGGGGGGGTGACAGCTCCATGATTAGGAACAAAGTCATCCCAATAGTTGAGGTTAGGGGGTGGGCACGGGGGGTGACAGCTCCACAGCTCCACGATTAGGACTGAGGTCATCCCAATGGCTGGGGTTACAGGGTGAACTCTGAGGGCGACATCCCCATGATGAAGACTGTGATCATCCCAGTGGCTGGGGCTGTGGGGTGCGCACCAGGGGTGACATCCAGGACACCCTACAACAGACACCGAGATCACACGGGGATCACAGAACCGATCTCCCCCCGTGCCCCCCATGCAGGCCGCTCGTGCATGACCATCCTGACCATGGCACGCTACGAATGGTTCGAGGGCTGGGCAGGGACTCTTCCCAGGCACCGTGGGGACGATTACCTGCACTACAAAGCCGACATCGCCCAGCGCCTCCTGCAGCGCGCACTGCTGCGCTTCCCCCACCTCCGCGACAAGGTGACGGCACGGGGATGGGGGGAACCCGGAATGGGGTGGGCTGTAGGGGACGGGGACCCCTCGTGTATCCTATGTGCCCCCTCCCCACCCCCCCCCTGGCCGTGTAGGTGGAGTTCGTGGAGGCGGCGTCGCCGCTCAGCAATGCGCATTACCTGGCGGCGCCGCGCGGGGAGATGTACGGCGCTGAGCACGACCTGCGGCGCTTCAGCCCCGAGGTGGTGGCAGCCATGAGGGCGGACACCCCCGTCAGGAACCTCTACCTGACTGGTACGTGGCCGTCCCCACCTCCTGTGTGCCCGCGTCCCCGTGTCTGTGTGTCCCCATGTCCCCGTGCGCTCCATGTCCCCACATCCCCGCATCCCCGTGTCTCCTGTTCTTGTTTCTTTGTGTCCCCATGTCTCCACGTCCCAGAGTCCCCCTGTCTCCATGACCCCATTTCCCCATGCCTGTGTCCCTATGATTCCATGTCCCATCTCCCCATGTCCCCACATCTGTGTGTCCCCGTGTCTGTGTGTCCCCATGTCCCCGTGTGCTCCATGTCCCCACATCCCTGCATCCCCATGTCTCCTGTTCCTGTTTCTCCATGCCCCCGTGTCCCCACGTCCCAGAGTCCCCATGTCTCCGTGACCCCATTTCCCCATATCTGTGTCCCTATGATCCCACGTCCCATGTCCCCATGTCCCCACATCCGTGTCCCCATGTCTCCATGCTCCCACATCCCCATGTCACCACGTCTGTGTTCCCATGTCCCCCTGTGCCCATGTCCCCACATCTCTGCATCCCTGTGTCCCCGTATCCCCAGGTGTCCTGTTCTTGTTTCTTCATGTCCCCATGTCCCCATATCCCTGTATCCCCATGTCCCCATGTCTATGTGTCCTCATACCTATGTGTCCCCGCATCCCCATGTTGCCAGGTCCACATATTCCATCTCCAAGTGTCCCCATGCCCCTGTATCCCCACATCCCCATGTCTGTGTGTCCCCACGTCCCCATGCCCCCTCTTTCCATGTCCCCCTGTCCCCGTGTCCCATGTCCCCATGTTTCCATGCCCAGCTTCAGCCAGGCTCTCCTTACACCTGGAATGTCCCATGGGGTGCCAAATCCCCATGGGGTGCCAAATCCCCATGGCAGTGGCTGTGTCCCCATGTCCCCATGGGGTGGCCGTGTCACAGCCGGGTCTCGTCCCCAGGGCAGGACGTGTTCAGCTGTGGGCTGGCAGGGGCTGTTCATGGGGCGCTGCTGTGCACCTCAGCTGTGCTGGGCCGTGTGCTGTACGTGGATCTGCTGCGGCTCAAGAGGAGGGAGAAGGCAGCAATGCGTGGTGTGAGAGCGGGGGGTGCAGCACAGTGATGGGGGGGGACGGGATGGG